AAAATATGTTGTAAAACATTTAAGTGACATTATGTATTTTTTGACAAATAATAAAAATTTAGTCAAGCAAAAATAATAAGAATAAAATATTAATTCTTTTTGAATGGATGTATAAAACATTTATCACCTTTTAGTTTTTATATTCAAAGTAGGGTCCTGCGAAGCTTCGAAATTTTGAATCGAATTAAATCAAAAATATGATTTGAGATACGATTCGAAAATTTTCAAAAACCGAATCATTACTTATTTTGTTTTAGTTGTGGGTATTTCAGATATTCTGCGCTTTGGGGCAATCAAAATAACGTTACTTATTCTTAAATACCTTTTTAGTTAGTCACTAAAAGGTTAACGAGAGCAGAAGCATCAATAAAAAGATTATACAATTGTTTTATTTTATTTTAAAGTATATACATTATTAAAAGAAATGCTTAAATTTAGAATTTAAAATGTTGATTCGAAACGTGATTCGAATCTCGAATCAAGACCTACTTTGATTCGAGATTCGATTCAAAACAAAAACTGACGATTTGCAGGGCCCTAGTTCAAAGTTAATAAAAATATAAATTTTAGATAAAAAGACATAATTATTATCATAGCTATTTTGGCAAAAAATGTATTTTGACAATTTTTTCGTTGATGAGCATAAAGTTTTATCCATTATTAAAATACCCATCATAACGTTGGCTCAGTGAAAAAAGGTTATAATTGTCAATTAGTGAAACGTTGTCTTGCAAAAAATTTTTGCAATTATCAAAAACTTGTTGATTCGCATCAATTTATACAAGACAACTCGGCTTTTAAACCGTAGTTTTTCAGTTGCGCAGAAATGTCAGTTAAGTTACAACCTTTTTGCTCGAAGACCCCAAAATGGGGTAATAAAGCGCTTGCCTTCTACTCAAAAGATATCCGGCCTAATCATATCGTATGCCACTAGAAGTAAAGAGCTTCATTTGTTTTGTTATACTTCTTTGAGGTCATTCATATTACCTCGGAGCAGTATATCGATGAAAAAACGTTTTTACGTACTTTTTCATTGCTTATACTTTAAGTAATTTTAACATCCGTACCTTTAATAAAATTGGAAACCTGTTCTTGTATATTACACTTTTATATGTACCTAACACTATTCTCGCTTTACGAATGTATTTAATACTGTAGCTTAGAGCTGTAATAACTTCTGCGCTAATCATTTATGAATCTGTGCCAAATGTTTTGGTGTGTCACTAAGATAATGCACATTAAGAGCTGAAAAATCATTTTAACTAAATATTACCCAATAAAATATTTTTCCATTTATTGTATCCCTGCTTCGTTTCACATTTTTATATATTTTAAAGTTCCTTTTCTTAGGTGCTATTGGTAAGGATCAAATTGCACTAATTTCAAGATTGCAACCAAGTTAATCTAGGTTTGAAAAAGAAACAAAAACTGTTAGAGTTGCTTGATGAGAGAAAAATCATGTAACATGATGGTTTATCAGTAGTTTCTGACTATCATTCCGCTTTTATTGTATTTATTTTGTTGACATTCTTGTGTAAAAAAAGGTAAAATTAGCTGGATGGTATTAATTTGATTGTAAATCAACTTTTAATAAAGTATTATTCTAATTGTATATATATATATATATATATATATATATATATATATATATATATATATATATATATATATATATATATATATATATATATATATATATATATATATATATATATATATATATATATTATATATATATATATATATATATATATATATATATATATATATATATATATATATATTATATATATATATATATATGTATATGCATATGTATATGTTTATATATATATATATATATATATATATATATATATATATATATATATATATATATATATATATATATATATATATTTCAAATATATATATATATTTCAAATATATATATATATATAAATTTTATATATATATATATATATATATATATATATATATATATATATATATATATATATATATATATATATATATATATAAATTTTAAAATATTATATTAGGAAATTTCAAAATGTTGTAACTATGTACTTATAATGTTAAATGTATACTTAAATGGTGTTTAAAGTTATTATTTAATTACTACTTGTAAATATCCAAGAAAATTTATCTTCTGAATATATATACTATTGAATGATTATCTGCACATTTCATAACGCTTTCGTACTTATTTAAGTGAAATGTAATTATATTTTTGTGAAAATTATATTTAGATAAAATAGATACTCTGCTTTGGTCAGTTTTATGGTATTTCTTACTTCTAATTTTTTTATTTTGTTTGTCAATATTTCATCTTTACATAAGCTGATTTTATTATATTTTATTACATATAAAATGAAAACTTTTCTTTTTGAGAATGTTTTTTAATTTTTAGATATGTTTCGATGATGTTTGATGTCTATATTCATATATATGTCTATATTCATATATATATATATATATATATATATATATATATATATATATATATATATATATATATATATATATATATATATATATATATATATATTAAATTTTTCTAAATAACTCAGAAATAATTGGTGGTTTGTCTTTTTATTAATAAGTTTTTTATCTGAAAAAGTTAACATAAATTTAGCTTTAATGGTCAGTGCCAACATTCAACTTTTTTGCCATTTAAATCATCATTTTAATTCTCACCATGTTATTTTTAATTCTACTAATGGTGGTTATTAAAACTTTGATTGATTACTTTTCTAAAAATTTCCTTATTGTTCTATACAAATATCTAAGTTTTACCAACAATAAAATACGTTCTTTAGTATTACTTTTTTGATTTTTTTTTTGTCACGCCTCCTTCCGTACCAATGTCGCTTGTTGGGCTAGAGCTGGCGTCGAACCCCGGACCTCCGGGTTCTGAGCCGGAACTCTAACCACTGCGCCACGGCTTACATAGATCTTTTTTTTTCGCTAACTACTTTAAATTAAATTATAAATATTGTTTAAACAAAATTGTTAAATATTGTTTAAACAAAAAGTAATCAAGTTTCAAAAGTGTTTTTATATGTCACAAGACTGTATATGAATTACATCCTAATCTCTCTCTCTCTCTCTCTCTCTCTCTCTTTCTCTCTGTATATATATATATATATATATATATATATATATATATATATATATATATATATATATATATATATATATATATATATATATATATATATATATATATATATATATATATATATATATATATATATATATGTTACAAATATATATATATATTATATATATATATATATATATATATATATATAAATATATATATATATATATAAATATATATATATATATAAATATATATATATATATATATATATATATAAATATATATATATATATATATATATATATATATATATATATATATATATATATATATATATATATATATATATGTATATATATATATATATATATATATATATATATATATATATATATGTCTATTATAAAATATTTATATTTTGTGTTCATATTTGTTTATATTTTGATAAAAATGCACTCATAGGTGTAAGAGTTTAAAAGTTAGTTATGAGTATTATAGTTAATTATTAAGTTCATTATTTATATTTAGAACAAAAAGAAAATTAAAATATATATTTTTTTCAAAATCATAAGACTCTTAATACTTTTTAAATATATTTTATTACAGTCTTTCAAGGTAGATAATCTGCAAAAAAAAATAAAAGGATCCAAGATTGGTATTGTATAGGTACTTTGGTTTTTAACAATTTTTATCTTGTAAATGTATATAGGAATATGTAATATCCCAGACAGCAAGCTTACATTGGACCAACGTCGGGCCAATGCATGATGATGCATTGGCCCAACGTTGAAAGTCGATGTTGGCCCAATGCAGGTTTGATCATTGGTTAGGTATTGGCCCAATGTTGTGTACAACATTGGCCCAATGTTGTATACAACGTTTACCCAACATTGGCCCAACGTTGTATATAACGTTAGGCCAACGTTGTATACAACATTGGCCCAACGTTGTATACAACATTGACCCAACGTTGTATACAAAATTGGCCTAACGTTGTATACAACATTGGCCCAATATCGTATGTTATATATCGGCCTAACGTTTTATGCAACATTAGATCGTTGTTACAAATAAGATGATTTGCATCGCTACATTGAAAATTTATAGAGAAAAAAAAGAATGTATGATACAAGTATAAAAATTTATTTATATATTTTTAGTTCTGAATTTTAATAACACTATTTTTAACAATAATATCATCTATAATCTATCATCTATAAAAATATTGTATTACCTTCGATAAATTTAAATAAACCTTTATATAATGAATAATAATGAATCACCATCAACTGTTAAAACTATAAACTGATATGAATACTGATATAATACAAATACTGTTGTTTTATTCAACATTTGATTTCAAATGGTTTTCAAAGTTGGTGACACCAACTTAGAAATCCAACAAGAAATTTTTGTTACGTTCATAAACTTAAATGTTCTCAAAACAACTAAAAAACCTGGCCAGTTTTTCACAACTAAATATATTTTCTGTGGTCAGTATTCGAGAACGATCGCTCCTGCTTCCTGACCAAGCCTGTGGTGTAAGCTTTGACATGTTGATTATTACACAATAAAATGTTAACTAACACTCTGACTTTTTGACCGTAATATATTAAAAAGTCTTTAAATTGTAAAAGTTAAAGCTATGAATAAAGATTTTCAATCATCAGACATAAAGACTTTTATATAAAAACTTACCATTTAATAAATTTTGTTCATTTAACTTCTCAGAGCAAACATTGAACTTCTGTAAAGAGTTTCGAGTTACAGGTAAATTCTAAAGTTTAATAATATTTTTTGTTTTATTATAAGAAATTGAGGATAAATCATCTACACCAAGATATACACGATTTTTTGTCTCTTTGTCATTTTTGCTGCCTTCCTTTTTTTCCTCCAGAGCAGAAGTTTAGCCTTCTGCTAAGTTTAATCTTGTATTGCTTTAAAAATCTATAAATCAAATCATTAATAATTAAGTTATAACTAAAGTTAATGTATAAGATTAAAGTTGTTAACTGTTGTACGCACACTAAATATATAAAATATCCAGAGATATTACATTAAAAAATAATAAAACCAAGAATTATGTCCCTCTGCCTCAGAAATATGGAATATATAGAGGGTTGTTTCGATTTAATTCATGACTTAAATCAGACAAATAAAAATAATGATTTAAATTGAGTTTTTTTATTTTAATTGTTTTAAATGGTAATCCTACAGTTACGTGGCCTAAAATAATTTTATTTTTCTGCTTGTCAGTAGAGGCTTTACAAACAATAGAAATATAATTGAAATAATAAAGCGAAAAAAGATTGCTAGCCCATGCCAAACCCTCATTCGATGTAGCAGCACTTCCTTGTAGCAGCAGGCTATTAGATAGTTGATGTAGCAAAACCCCCTGGCACAATAAGCGCAAAAATATAATTATTTTAGGCTGCATAACTGTAGCTTTACCGTTTTTAATGATTATTTATTGATTTAATCTCATAATTCAATTAATTATTATAGACTAGTCATTGGTCTTAAAATAAAATGTCTGGCAATATTAGAAAGCTCTACATAAGTAGAATATAAATTCTAGTAACATCACTTTTTGTACAGTTTTAATATATTAGTAGATGGGCTTTCACAATCAAACACAGAAAAAATCAAACAAAAGAGTCATACTTAAAATGTAAAATATCAGCTTCTAATAACTTCAATGCCACATATGTAATATTGATACCTTTAATAATATATTTTATAATAGCTATACAATCTAAACTATTATAAACAAATTATGAAAAAAAAAACCTTATACTGTGTGATATTTCAAATTTTTGATTTACATAATAAAGAAGACATTTAAAATGTCTTCTTTGTTAAATAAATCGAACATTTGAAATGTTTCATTTATTTAATAAAGATTATTAAACAAATCAAACATTTGAAATGCCAATACAGCAATAAAAATAAAAAAAATAACTTTAAGATCTTACACAAAAATAATTTGATTATTGCCTTTATTGTTACATTAATAATTTAGATTGTAGTAAAAAATGTTTTAAGCATTACGTTTAAATGTTAACAAATATTTCATTATTTAAAAAAACAAAACATTAAGTCACGAGAATCTCATGAAATTTATTTATTATAAAGAACCTTTTAAGATTCTTGGAAGATTAATAAATATACCTTCTTTTTTTTATTTTTATAATTTAAAAAAATGGAAAGATAATATCAAAACTTTTTTTTATTCTGTCAAACGATGCCATTTTAAAAAATGTTTTGCAACAAATTTTAAAGTATATACTAATCCGCAACTACATTGGCCGAATATTGGCTACGGTATAAATGTAAGAATAGCAAAATATTAAGCCCAAACTACATTGGCCAAATGTTGGCCCAACGTAGTACGATAATTGCAAAAAACCGATTTGTAGAATTGCAATATTACGCCGAAAAAAAAGCATTGGTTAAATGTTGGCCCAATATAGTACGATATATGCAAAAAACCGATTTGCAGAATTGAAAATAATACGCCGAAAAAAAACATTGGCTAAATGTTGGCCCAACGGAATAAACTTGCCAATGTTAAAACTTACATTGGGCCAATGTAAGCTTGCTGTCTGGGATAATTATATTATTATGTGCTTGTGTATACTTTTATCAAAATTGTTAATAATTTTTTAGAAAGCGTTTATTACTTTACTAATTTTTTGTTTATTTGTGTAATTGCTGTTGAAGTGAAATGTAAATCACGTAAATTTTAATATTTTTTTATGTAAATCAATGAAAACTTGTTTTCAGAAAATTTTATCAAAAACATACCATTGATTTTATATATGTAAGATTTGCTAAAAATAATTTATTTAAATTTTACTTTTATTTACGGAAACTATCCGGCAGCTGCCGTTGTTTAACGGAAAAAACTTGTTTAATTTAGACGGAAGTATCCGTTTATTTACGGAAAAGTTTCGGCAGCTGCCGATGACCAAACTACCCGTTGTTTAACGGAAAAAAACCATTGTATTTTAACGGAAAAAAATCCGTTTGTTAACGGAAACACCCGTTTACATGCGATGGGTTTTTCCGTAAAATGACGGGTAGTTTGGTCATCGGCAGCTGCCGGAACTTTTCCGTAAAAAACGCGCTATATTTTTAACAGTGTATACGCCGTTTGAGTTGAGGAATGGTTGTTGTTTGCCAATTATCCTCTTCGACTAAGCGTTTTAACTGACCTCAAAAGTTCTCAATTAGTCGAGCTTCTGGTACATTGGGTGAATTTTTTACTTTTGGCAGGTATTTGATGTTACTGGCATCGAGAAAACAAATTACTTAATTTGCATAGTGCGAGCTAACTAAATCTTGCCAGAACAAGTACTCTTCATTTTTATAATATTCATCAATGAAGAGTATGAACCGCTTGCGGAGACATCCGATGTATGTTTGTTTGTTGATTGCCTAGCCAATTTCAAAAAACATTGGTTTTGAAGTCCCTTTGGGCTTCATGATCAAAGAGACTAGCACCTTTTCCTCGTACTTCTTCTTTCTTTTGAATTTGACGTCGCTAGTTGTAGATGACACGTAGCTAGAATAGAAGCTATCGTAGCAAGCCAATGTTCTATTCGCGTATGTGAAATATAATTGTTCATCCAAGACAAAATCAAATTTTCTAAAATTTCGATTTACATGCCGACAAAAAAGTTTGTTTCGAGCTAGTTGGCTATCGCTTCGATGTGAAATCTGTTTGTTCTTGTAATATCTAATATTCGTCTTGTTTTTAAGAATTTTAGATATATACGATTGGTCACAATCAAGTCTTCGAGCTACTTGATGTTGCGAAACACCGTGATGATGATCAAATGTTTTTTTCAATTGGTCTATGTCCTTTTTATCCATTATTTTCGCCTTTAGATGGCTTCTTTTATTTTTCGTTGAATGCCTAAATTATTGTCTACATGTTCTAGAGCACGATAAATGGTCGCTTTCAATGCTCCTTCATCTAGAAAGTGATTTACTGTTTTTCGAATTCTTGTTAACAAATTAATCTTTGTTAACAAGAATTCGATAAAATTTGTAACGGATAGTTTGAGAGAAAAAAAAAAAAAAAAAAAAAAAAAAAAAAAAAATATATATATATATATATATATATATATATATATATATATATATATATATATATATATATATATATATATATATATATATATAAATGTATATATATATATATTTTTAATTGATAAAATAATTAGTAATGTCCATGAGATAGATACAATTCTTGTGGTTGATGAAAATGTGGGAACCAGGAAAAGAAAAGTAACAAGTGGAAACAGAGTTAAAAAAAAAAAAAAAAAAGATATTTGGCTACCCAGGCATCAAACATGAACCTTGCAACCACAATTCATTAAGCAATCATTTTTCATATTAACGAAGGCAACCCTACTGCATTTTTAGAGAATACCGCTTTCCAATCGAAGAAGCTACTACGCTTTTTGCGAGGGATGTGTTTCTCAAAACAAAAATAATGTTGTATTAAGAACAGCAATACATTTTCTTCAGAGTTAACCCAATAATTCTACAAGTATAAACAAAATACAGTTTTATTTTTCTGTTTGTGGTCATTGTTTTTAACCGGCAGATTTTTTGGTAGAGTGAAAAAAAAGCAAACAAAATGTGAAATAATTTTATCCAAAATTTTATCCAAAGATAAGTATTATGACATTTATTCAGAAGAAGGTAAAGTGAGTGTTGTGTTTTGATTATTTACTTCATTCATATTATTTACTTTGTTTACATTATGGTTGCAGAGAATGTAGTGTTTTTATTTTTTTTTTTGTTTATTTTAGTGTAGAAAAACTTATAACAATTAAATTTTTTGTTGATCTTTATGCTTCAATTTTCTACTCTTGTTAGCACAAAATATGGATAGAGCTCTAAGACCTTCTCGCTTTTATAGATTACCCTTCTCACCTTCTGCAATAAAATTATTGAAACATTGGCTCAGAAAATTTGAATATTATCTTGATGAACTCCCTCAAGAACTCAACAAGTAAAAAATTCTGACTAATTTTGTTGTGCCCGATGTTTATGAAATAATAAGCGAATGTCCAAATTATGATGCACCAATTTAAGCTTCATAATCTGTATACATTAAACCATCGAATGAGGTTTATGCACGACTCCTCTTTGCCACACGTAAGCAAGAGCCAGGAGAAAGTTTTAATGAATATTTACGTGCTCTTAAAGTTTTAGCAAAAGAATGTAACTTTAGACAAGCGTCTGCTATTGAATATTGCGATGAATATATTAGGGATGCATTTATAAGAGGGATAAGTTCATAAATTCTCAGACAGAGACTACTCGGTGTAGTTAAGGGACTTTTAAAATATTATAGCGTCTGTATGATATTTTGTTGACTACGACATATTTCCGTTAAATGGTCTGGTCTGTGAATTATGAAAAGACAAAAAAAATGAAAATAATAAATTTTGCGGTATCTTAAAATATAAATGTTTGTAGCGAAAAAATCCTGACCGTGGATTCTTTTTTTTTTAAAAAAAAGCATCTTAAAATCACAATCACTCGTCCAAATATGAATAAGATTTTATATTAATACGTTTTTTAGGTAAAATGAACATTATAGTTTAACATTATGATCTGTTCGATTGGTTATTGGCAATTTTCCATAATTATAAGCTCTTTCTTGGTCGGAATTCCAGTATTTTTTGTGAAAATTTATAGAAATAGTGTGTTTAGACAACTTTATATAGTTAATATACGTCAGAACCGATTACAACTAGAATCAGTAGTAAATAAAGAAAATTTTTTAAAAGATTTTAACTAAATTCATGTTAATGCCGACAAGCGGAATTGATCTAAATCATCCAAAACAGTGTTCTTTAAAAACATTATTACGGGTAGTAAAAAGATTTTGAAAATTATATAAAAAAAAAAAGGTTTCTTTAAATATTATAAAAACCTAAAGCAAAAGAAATTATAACATTTAAAGATCTTGTTTGAACATAATATGCTGACAAAACCATGCTAATTCCAAATAAAAGAATTTAAATATTTTGTAAATCGCCTAACTACACCGAGTACTAAAAAACAGTAGAATATGTCTAGAAAGGAATTTTTTTAAAAACAAGAACCTTGGAATCAGCACAGAAATATGCTGAAAAAAACTTCCTCTATAGTACATCAGGCTCAACAGTGGCTTCAATAACAAAAAAGCTCAATGCAATTTAACTCAAATTCTGTTTCAAATTGCTGAAACTCTGGAAATCGAAGACATGTAATGTTGTCTGTCCTGCTAGAGAGTCAATTTGTTTTAAATGTCGGAAGGTTGGTCATTTTCCCAAGTTATGTAAATCTTCTAAACTTACAACAGTAGAGATGAACCTTGTTGATCAACCTTTGAACTCATACAATCCTTCACTTACTAGAATAGACCCTGCTTTTAGAACTAATTTAAAAAACATTTCTGCTTCCATTTCAGCTTTGACTAAATCAACAACTGGTATGTTGGTTAATGGTTCAATTGTAAACGCTCTCATTGATAGTGGTAGTACTGATAGTTTTATTCATCCTCAATTGGTACAAAAACTAAACCTAACAGTTCATAGACACAACTTGTTGTTGTTCATTATAAAAGTGTTTTAGTAAGAAAAATTTGGTATTGACTGGGATTTGAAAGTCACAAATAACTGCAGAAATACTATAAGGATCTACCCATGATAAGTGATGTAAAACAAATTTATATTATCAAGAAAAAGAAAGTCGACCAAAAACTCGATAAAAGTTAGAGCAATGGAAAAATATTTCTTTGAATCAGACGCGAAAAGCTTCTTTCACTGACTAAATGAAATGCTAATAACAGATATTTAAAAAACATAAGACTCGATAAAATGCCTTTATTCACTGCAGAGAAAAAAAAGATGTCGAAAAACTTTTGAATGGCAAGACTTGAAAAATAAACGTTTTAATTTTTATATACGCATTTTTGGCCTACCAACAACACCTGAACAAAAAATAGAAAAAGAACTGTGTGATTGCTTAGAACAGGAAATACCTGTTAGAAATATGAAAGTTTTTTAAAAGAAAAAACGAAATGTTATTTGAAATTCATTACAATTTTCAATTTTAGTATTCATTTTCATTCATATCAAATTTTTTCCATGAAAGTTTCATTTAAAAAGTGTTTTGAAATTAAATTTAAAAAAAGTGCTTCAACCTCTACCCTGATAGCGAATACAATAGATCTTAAATAACTTCATTGTACAACTTTTCTTAAAGGAGCATTTTCAACAAACTTCCAGGAAACTCTGCGTTTTTGCTTAAAACTACCTTTTGTATTCCCTGTAACCTGATTGATAATTAAATTGAATTAAAGTTTAGTTATTGTTTTGGCTTCCAAGGCTACGCTGTTTTACAAAGTATTCTTCTAACACATGTTGATTGATGCGCTCTGACAATACAAATGGCATTCCTTTACTTAACAGAAAACGTGTTGATTCTAAAGCAGACATTTTTCTTACAGAAAATGTGTTGATTCTACAAAAAAGCAAACCGTTATAATTAAGTCTTCGTATTTTTGTCATTAATAAACATGCGATCACGAGCATTATGTGTAAAGTTTCTATTAAGATTCTTGATATATTCTTTCCCACTTGAAAAATAAAATGATAAAAAAAATTCAAGGACCAATTATGTAAAGTGTCACTATAAGGTTCTCAATCTGATTTCTTCTAAATAAATTTTCATTTCGGTTTCATAGATTTAAACGGTCAGAGAATCTATCCATAATTGAACAAAGTTCAGCTGTAACATGTGTTTCAGAAGGATAATACTGATAAAGAACATTTTGTAACACTTGCACTTAAAACTTGTGTGGCATAGAGAATATGTAGTTAAATGTACATGTTTATAACTAAGTTTTGGTAAAACTCTAAGTCTGTTGTTTGGTTCATCTTGTATCAATTTAACTATGGTACAAGATAAACATATATGTGATCAGAGTATGATATAATGGTATCATACAATACTCACGGTTCATACATTAATCACGGTTCCAAAGATTACAGGTACATTTACCATCACTAGAGTGATTCATGCAGTTTTTAAATATTTTCACTAAATGTGAAGCATTTGCAAAAAACGACATAAAACGATCAGGTGCATATAAATTATTTGTGAGACACAACATCCGAGTCACCTAGATTATCTAACCCATTATGGATTTTATAAAATAATCGATTTGGTAATGCACCATTTAAACTGCAACAATTTCTTTCAGATTACAACAATGTTCTAATATAGAGACAGCTTTCCAAAATTTTGACAAAATTTGAGATTGCATGCAATTCGTAATAATATACAGTGACTGGCTATATCATTTATATTTGTAATGGCGGAGAGGTTTATTTCAGGGTTTCCAAGATCGACGTATCCTACGAGTTCGCGTAATTGATCAAAAGAAATCTTATTTCAAAATTGAATTATTGTTGGATCGTATCTTTGAAATTTCCTAGTTACTAAAAGATTCTTTTCTTCTCAGAATATTTCAAAAACATTGTCATATTATTTTGGCTCTTACTAATTATATTTTCAAGATCAGAACTTAATAAAGTGCTGACTTTCTTTTGCATTATTTTAATATTCTGCTGAAACTTTTTGTTTTTATAAAGCTTTTCAACAAGTGCCAATTTAGCGCGATTTGGGTGTGTGACAAATAACAGAGTTTTTAAATAAGCCGGTCAATTAATTTTGTTTTGAAGTAGTAACTTTACTTTAAATAAATTAATTTTAAAATTCTAAACATTTGATACATTTTTGACAGTTAGAATCAATAAAAAAACAATGTTGTGACGTTTGTGTGGGTGGCAGTTTCTTTCGACATCTAATAAACAGGGGAGCAGGAGTTTTTCTAAAATGTAGTAAACGAGAGTTGTATCAATAGTTAATAATTTATAGGTTAAAACTATCGTTTTTTACTAAGCATAAAACTATTTATGGTCACCAGGCAATGTTCCTCCATAAACAATAACAAATATTCAAGAATAACTTTTAAATGTAGTACTAACGTAAAAGTTTAAAAAGATTTAAATGAAATAAAGTTTTAGTCATATGATATAAACCAATCTATTATAAGTTTCTTTACTTAGTAAGTTCACTAATGTTTTTGTATTTGTCTATTTGGTTTTCTTCTGTAGTCAAAATATCTTAAAATATATATATATATATATATATATATATATATATATATATATATATATATATATATATATATATGTATATATATATATATATATATATATATATATATATATATATATATATATATATATATATATATATATATATATATATATATATATATATATATATATATGTATATATATGTATAAATATATATATATATGTATATATATATATGTATATATATATATATATATATATATATATATATATATATATATATATAATATATATATATATATTTAAACAATTTAAAATGTATTCTACAAAAAGAGTGCTCAATGTTCTTAAAAGAACAGAGCAATTATAAATTAGTAGAAAATTACTTAGCAAAATTTTTTCTTATTTAACACTGTGTTTCATCAATAAAGACTCATCAGAAATGAATAATCAAATTAATAAAACTTCAATTTATACCAAAAATTAAATTACAGGAAGTCACATGTCTTAACTACTGCAATTTTTCACACATTTGTGTAATTTGCTGACACTATTGTAAAAAGAATTCTTTAGAAATGATTACTTAAGCTTTTTAAAAAAATATATAGTATTTTTTAAAAAAGTATAAGTAATCATTTCTAAAGAATTCTTATATATATATATATATATATATATATATATATATATATATATATATATATATATATATATATATATATATATATATATATATATATATATATATATATATATATATATATATATATATATATATATATATACATATATATATATATATATATATATATATATATATATATATATATATATATATATATATATATATATATATATATATATATATATATATATATATATATATATATATATGTATATATACCCAAATGTCTTTTTTTAGGTGCTTTAAAAGTTTCATAAAATTTTTTAAGAATGTTGAGCAATTGTATTGCACCAAACTTCAATGTTTTTCGACCAGTTCTTATAAAATAAAAACAATAACATAATTATTCATAATTAAAACAATACTTATTCTACCTCCACATTCAAAAAATGATTTTGCTTTGGTTTTTTAAAAGTTCAACAAATATCTGAACGAAGGTTTTAAAGGCATATTTTTACAGGTAATCGATTCAATGTAAAAAAGATTTTAAATAAGATACAAATATTTTAAATAATAATACTTTGATAAAAATATTATTAAAAAAAAAAAAAAAATTGCTTACTTGTAAACTTAATATCTGTTGGCGCAAATGCGTATAAAAATTTTTACATTTCAAAAAAATGTTTAATATATTTTTCCTCAATTGTTAATGGAAATCGTCAATTTGTAAGTTGAATCATACTTGGTGTTTAGAGTTTTTTGTAACTCCAGAAATAGCTCAATTTGCTCAGGCATTTTTTATTCCAAAAAGCTATAAAATAACTTTACCTTAGTTATTCATATAGCTTGAACAAAATTAATATTAAAAAATTAAAATCTGTTATCCTTATCACACTTGTTTAACTACCGTCCCATTAATTTTCTTTAATTAACAAACATTTAATAATTAAATGGCTAGTTTTTCGAACTAAGAGAAGCAAATGAAAATTAAGACTTTCTTGAAACGGTAACTTTGCTTTACACTTTACCATTATTTTACTTTGATCACGTGATTACGATTTTTTTAAGCACTAAGACCATTTTGTCAAAATATTTCATTTCCGACCAGGGATAACTTATATTGACTATGGTTAAATTATATGAAAACGTTAAAAACAGGTTCTTCGGCCTTCGCTTAATAAACATATTTAATAAAAATGCTTTAAAATCATTACATCATATGATATCAAAATTTTTATTATAATCTTGATAAAAATTCTACAGCAAAAATGTAATCATAAAAATATTGTGCAATAATTACAAATATTGTAGAATAAAAAAAATTAATGTAGTATTCAAAAAATATTCGGAAAAAAAAAATTGTTTTATTTACAAAATTTTTGATTTCGAGTTTGCTTTAAATATTGGGGTAGGATTTGAGGAAGGTTTTAGAAGAGCGTTGTTATCTTTGCGTTTTACGCTAAACTTTGCTTTAGATTTAGCAGCAATTTTTTGAAGAATGTTTCCACCTCCAGATTTTATGGTGGCTTTGGTGGTAGTAGTAGTTGTTGGTCTCATCGTTGTTATTGCAGGATTTGGCGGACCTTGAATACAAATAAAATTTAAACATTAAAATTGCAAAGAGATTTATATTTCATTGAAATCGTCCGTAAAACTCGTTAGAGTTTTTTACACAATAATAAACGCTTAAAACAAAAACCTTCAGTTATGCGTGTGTGTTTGCTAGTTATATGGTTACGGATGTATACAAAATAATTTAGGATAAATTGTTATGCATAAAGGGGTGTGACCTAATTATTTACTCGGTCTTTTATATAGTTTTAATTATAGCGTATATATCTTTTCAAACACGCAAACACCATTATTTTACAATACATCTTAACTTTGAAACTTTGTTCGCTTTTATTAATGCCATTGTCTATTGAAACTCATCAAAGAGTTTTTTTGAACAACAAAATCTTATTTTGAGAAAAGATGATTCAATATTCTACAGAGCAGATAACTTGATGACATTGCTTTAAACAAGCTTCTCTATGTCTGAAATGATGTTATGAGTGATAAAAGCATCTCAACCAACTTTTCTATACTTTTCGAGAGTCTTGCATTGTTTTCTAGACTATATTTATGGGTTCTAAAAATTTAGTTTGTTCTATTATCAAAATAACTGTTGAAAATTGTTTAAACAAGTAATTAAATTTTAAGCACGTTGCTCACCGCGATTTTGTTATATTTAAAAATAAGTGTGTCATTATTTTAACTACTTGAAAATGGCGAAAATATAGGCCATCATCATTTTTTGAAACTATTTATAAAATTATATAGTTATTTAATTTTATATATAAAAATATATTAGTTATATTGTCGTTGTTTTTTAAACTCAGATTATGAGAACTGTAGGAAAATATCTGTCAGCAGATATTTTAAATTATTTTATATTGTTTAAAGCAAGTGTTATAGTTTTTATACGTCGCCAAACTTTGAGACAATAAATTAAAGCGTTGTTAGGTTCTTATTAATATACAATACCTATTTCTAAATTAGTTTTCACCGAAAGTAAATTTTGCAAGAAATTCCATGATGGTTTGATTCTTTATGTTTTTCAATGTTTTTTGTTTAAGAGAAACATCTCAATAGTTGTATTCAGATGTTCCTCTTAGCTTTAAAAAGCAGTAATTTTATAAATGAGATTCTTAGGAGTTGATTGGATTGACTTTTAATAACTGCTTCAACACCCAAGAAGTAATTACAGTTTAGTAATTGTTTCTTGCAATATTTGGTACCTGTTATCTGTAACAACAATATTTTTAATATTAGAAGATAAAATACCTGTTTTTCAATCCTGAAAAAATACTAACAATATGATTCTAGATATTTATTATTTCAACTCTAAGGGGCAGTCCATAAAGAACGTCACCATATTTTAGTTAATTTTTGACAAATTTATCTAACCGGTAGCTCTTTTTTCCTATATCCCTTTAATATGGGTAACATAAAATTGGTAACCGTCCCCTTTATTTTTTAAAAAAAAATCCGCTCTTAGTTTAAATATTTTTATTGAAATCTTTCACATTTTTGAATATCATTTTGTAGTATATTAGGTATTTTCACGTTTGTTTCAGTTGTTTGTTCTTGTGGGCCCCCCTTTCAGTTGTTTGCCTCCCTGAAGATTTTTTTCTATATTACTCATATTCTATATATTAATTTTAATCAAAGCGTGTCATGTCACGTGTCATGTCACGTGTCATGGGAACATGTCTTACTCTTCTTCCTTCTAAGAATTTTTTAAATAACTAGTTTTTGATAATTGGAATTGAGCAGTCTGGTTCGTCTGAATAGTCGCATTTGGAATTTTAAGGTCCTGAGTTTCAAATTCATCTTCATCGAACGAATCAGCAAAAGCCTTGTTTTCTTCAGCGCCAATTACGGCCATTAACTCATTTTGTGCTTGGCGGCAATACAAACTGGTCTAACTTGCGATAGGGTAATAGACATTTGGTTAATAAAAATGGAATGATGCTGACAGGCGTTTTTTGAAACGATTTGGAAAGTACAAGTTATAATGGTTACAGATTCTCTGAGGCAAACTTGATTGCACAGAAAAATAAAACAGATCCTAACGAGGTAGTCTTAATTATTTCAATGATCGAGGAATAGTTTTCTGAATACTAAAGACAATAATAAAAAATAAAGAAGGAAAACAATTCTTGCAGCGACGTCTAAAGCGGCTACAGCTTTCAAGCTAAGATTGGCAGATTGGAACAGGTAGAGGCAAAAATCGACCAGAAATAACATGGAAATAAGAACAACTTCTTTTCAAAGAACAGCATGCGGGATCCTCACATTCACAATTTGCATGAAATCTTGACTGATGCGCACATGAAAGGCAAACCATTCTTGATCCTTCGATAAAAAATGACGAGCATCGAGCTCCGTCTTGATTAATATACCGTTGGAAACTAATCAATCATCGGACATGAAAAAATTCTGGATTAATATACTGAACGACCTTTGGAAACTAATCAATCGTCAGACATGAAAAAATTGAGGCACATATTATTCCAACAAAATTAAAATTCTGTTTCTCTGAAAGAAGATCCACTGTCCTAACTTAAATACAAGTCGCAATGCAGATAATTAAATTTTTGTCTTTTCTATCTTGCTATATATACTACATTTTGATAAAGAGTTTATATTAAAATCGAATTTGAATTTTTTGAGAGTCTAGATGAGTTCCAAAATGATCATAAAGGAAAATCAATCTCACTAAATCAACACTGATGGCAACCACTGGCTCGACGAACTTAGTCAAAGGGTCTTTTGTAATGAAACCGAAGGCCGGCAGAGTCAAAAGTTGCTCAATTTTCAAAACGTGAGTATACATTGTTAATGATGAATGCTTTCCATAAATGGGACCAAAATGGAAAACTACGTCAGTGTTTCCAGGCCCATAGTGTTTGATTTCAATGCCTGTCTAGAGAAATAGGACATGCTTGTTCTTTACAGTGATGACCCAATCATGATCAGGAAAAGAGACTCGATTTTCCATATGCACGAATAAATGAGCTTGTTTGTTAGCAGTGGTGATTCCAAATGGAATACGAGCTTTAATGTGTTGACTTATAAAGCACACATTTTTGGAGCCTAAAAAAAAGCCAATTTTTTCAAAATTCTTTTGGTTTCTGTAAAAATTGGATTATTTACGTGAATAAAATGAAAATCGTTCTGGAATCGCATCAACTTGAGTGGAACCGTGTGGACGTGTCTTTTTCCATCAATCAATTTGCTCCATTTAGACATCAATGAAATATCAATCTTAGCACTTCTGCTAAGATGGTAGTCTCTGTTTTCGAGTTTGGCACCAAACTCTTCTAACTATGTTTAGGCCAAATAAAATCCAACATAACTTTTTATTAGCTAAATTTGTACTCTCACCCTATACACTTCAGATTGCCTCTTATTATGGGCAGCAGATCTATGTTCAGCAAATAAAACAATGACGCGCAATAGCTCATATTCTTCTACTTCAATAGCAACGCAATCAATTCTGTCACGTCCAAGTAATAAATTAATTGTAATATATTCAATAAATATATATATATATATATATATATATATATATATATATATATATATATATATATATATATATATATATATATATATATATATATATATATATATATATGTATATATATGTATATATATTTATATATATATATATATATATATATATATATATATATATATATATATATATATATATAATACATTTATATTGACATTGGGTTTATTTCACAGCAGCAGAAGCTTTGCACAAGCCAACCTGCGTAGATAATTATTTATATATTGTTTATTATTATTATATTATATCATTTATTCATCAAACTAAAAACTAGTAAAGAACATGTAAGTTTTAGTTTCTCTTGTTTATATATGACATTTACATTGAAGCATGGTCCCGGGCTCCATGTGCAGTTAAGGTGCCCACCAATGATCTTCGCTTGCTACACCATTTGTTTGAATACAGAAATCAAGCCGTTAGACAGGTTATAGTTACAGCTTTCAACCACTATTTATGATAAATGAGTGTAATAACTATTGATTTAGTTTGGTGGCTCTTTTATTCACATATCAATTTTAGCAAAAAAACAGTTGTTGATCAGCAACATGCAATCTGTACAAGCTAGCTCAGATTATCCACCAACTTGATTCAAGGTGTGTCAATTCAACTGTATGAGTTTCACAGCACTCAGTGCGGAAAGAGAAGTGAAACGCATACAGGATTACTATTAACAAAAAATGAAGAACAGAAACAGCGCCTATTGTAGTTATCTAGAAACATTGCCACAAAATTCCAAATTCCAAAAGAGACACTTTGCTGTTGTGACTTTCAGTAGGCAAAGAATTAAAACATAAACAACTAAAAATAGCTAAAATTGATATAATTGTCAGTCTTTTTTTTTTCCCGTTAAGACACCATTTACTTAACCAAGAGTGTTTAATGGAGGTCTTCTATATATGGAGACTTATTCACAGAGGCTTCTTAATATTATTAACACAATAGATACTACCAGAAGTAATATTTTCCCTTCTTTAAATTTTTGAAATTTTTAAAATCCTTTAGAAACTTTGCGATTTTTTGAGAGAATTAAGTGCTACAAATAACTTTACACTAATTGCAAATCAATGAAAAAGTATCAATAAAAAACTTGACTTGAAAGATCAGTTGCCTTATTGAAGAATATGATTTTAAGAATGAAATAATCAGCTTTATTAAAGAGTTTGTTGGTAAATGCCACAGCAATTATCGAATACCACAACAAAATATAAAAAACAACAACAAAATGTCAAAAACAAATAAAAATTAAAATTAATTTGAATTAATTATTTTGTTTTCACGTTCTTAACTTGTTTTAAATGAGAAGTTAGAAAAATAAAATAGTATTTTTAGTTTTTTAGAAAAAAAAACATAATGATACGATCAACATTAAACAATTTACCTGCGCATCTTAAAACGCCATCACAACCAACAGTACATGGAGAAACTAAAATACAGGAAAAAACTATTGCAAAAAAATTATAAAAATAACCACTAATTATAATAAATTTTTTTTTTTAATAATTTACTTTAGCCAAAAAAATTGGAAATTTTTTGAAGTAAAAGAAGATGAAGTTTGAACTTATCAAGAAAAACTTTTACACTAAAAGTTTAGAAGAAAAAAAAATTAATGCACATATTTACAAACGGCTATATATGACCATTTGTTAGTGAATTTTTTACTAATATGAAAAATAAAAAATTTAACTGTAAGGGATTCAAATCTGCTACAAAATTTGTTGTGTGCTGTTTAGAAAAACGTGACAAGTCTGACTTTTCGATGTAATGACATTTCAATGCAATGAATGCAAGTTAATGACAGTAAAACAAGAATATTTTTATCTGACCCACTGAAAAGAATCATTAAAATAATATCAGCCTTAATTGATTACAATATCGATGTTAGATCCTCTTTGAAAAGATGCAAGAGTTATTTTAAACCAAAAGCTAAAGAATTTTTTAATGCTCACTGTTATTGCAAACACTGAATAAGTTAAAATTGAGAGATAGGTGGATTGGTGGTTGGTTTAAAGATTACAGAGTATTTCTTCAGCAACTAAATAGATAATTTTCAATCACCAAAGATGTACAATAAAAAAAGAATTAAAGAAAAATTATGTAGAACGTGTTACTGGTGGCTCCCAGGGGCTATTCTAGACCGTTTTCGACAACGTCGATTGTATTTGGGCGTCGCACAAATTAAAAATTAAGGACCTTTTTTTTTTTTTTACAGCAAATATTTACACTATTTACGGCAAAAAAAAATTGTTTTTTCCCCTGATATATTGCAAAATTTCAGCTGAATTTCTTCAGTACAGAAAAGTACCGCCGCCAATAATTTCTTTCATAAGTAACCCCTGACTCCATAAAAAGTTAACTTTCCTTTTATGTCTGCTGACTAAATGCCTCTGTATCAAAATGAATTATTGTTCCATAAAACTAAATATAAAATTGTACAGATAGTAACTAAACTTTAATAGAAGAGATCAGTACTACTTTGTAAAAAATTATATTTCTTTAATGCACTTATGACTGTTGCATTATCTCAAAAAGAACTAAAACCATTGCAATTAGAATTTGTCTTTAAAGTTAAAAGACTACAAGTTTTTGTTTATTCACTTGGAAAAGTTATAGAGTAGTAGGCATAAAAGACTTTCTCTTACATAAAATAAATGTTAGATTACGCCAACAAAATACTATTTATTCCAACGACATTTTCAACTTTAAAACTATTTGTATTTACGTTTGATCATTATCTTGTTTATCTGCCTCCCAAATTTAAGTCTATCTTTTTTAAAAAAAGGTTACTTTTTTATTTGATAATGGTTGCATAACTGGGGATCTTCAAATGATACCTCTCGTATAGAAGAAAAAACTGACAACTCTTATATTTGATGACACTGAAGATTACTTAGAAAATTATCAATATTGATGGGAAAACCTTAAAAAAAATTTTTTTTTATTTTTTTAAACCTTTAACCTTTAAAAAAAAATTGCTTAAATGGAAACAGTTACAAAGTTTAAAAAAGTGGATAACACCTCTTAAAGTTGATTGTAGAGGCAATTGTTGCCGAAAATGTAATAAAAGAAACTGCTGAAAAAATAAAACGGAACTGTAAAATAGGATTGATGATGGTTTGTCATGATTCCTCTCTTACAAGAGAAAAAAGATTAAATGTAAAGTATTTTTTAAGTCTAAAGATATCAAATGTTTGTGAAGCAACACTTTGTTGCCAGGCCTTGTAAAAATGGAGGGAAAATTTAAAAGCAATTGGAAGTCAATTTCAAAAGATATATATCACAGATAGAATACATAGTTTTATAAACATATGTTTTTTTTTTTGGTGGGGTGTGGAAGAATTGTTAAAAAGGCAAGCAATTGATTGAAATCAAAAAATTTGCAACATAATCTTATAAAATTTGACTAGTAAATTTACTTATAAATTTTACTAATAATAATAACACATCATAAATAAAAACTTAAAAAACTAAAATTTACAAAAGTTACTATTTTATTTTTTTTCATTAACAAATTTTAATTTTGTCAATTTTAATTTTTGTTATCAATTTTTTTGACATAAGTTTAATCATTACATAACTTCTTGATTGATTTTATAAACTTATCTACTCATCTCTAATATTGATGGACGTTATTATAAAATTAACAGACAAAATTGTTTTAAAAATTCTGTTATTATGAAATATAAACAGCTGAAATTCTGAAAAGAAAGGGAGAAAGGTACAGATAGGAAATGACAAAAGTAGTTTACTTATACACTTACAAAATCAGCTACACCTTCAGAATGATAGGAAACACCTTCAGAATGATAGGAAACACCTTCAGAATGATTGGAAACACCTTCAGAATGATAGGAAACACCTTCAGAATGATAGGAAACACCTTCAGAATGATAAGAAACACTTTCAGAATGATAGGAAACACCTTCAGAATGATTGGAGGACAATTAGCTGGAGGACTATTGTCAAAAAATACATTGAAATACCAAATAAAAAAAGTAAACATAAAATGTCGGTAAGTCTGTATTTCAAACTTTGCTAAACATTTTAGTGAAGTATTAAACTCTTAAAATATGGTTTCAATGGTAGTTTACCCCGTTGATATATCAAAACCTATGATAATGGTGGTTAATAAAAATTAGATCGTAGTATATACAAAATGCTCTGTTTCTAAGTTCTATTAAAACTTAAATAAATTATGTATATAGAGTGAAAAAATTCCAGTTTTAATAAATAAGTAAAACTATTAAAAATAATATTTTAAATCTAGTTTCTTAAAAAAACTTTTTTTTTTTGTATACTTATATGACATATTATGATAACTAAAGATAGTATATTAAAGTTGAATTTTTGTTGTAGTATTACACCAATCGTATTCGTATAATTCAAATGGGGATGACAATTTTTTGAAAGACGTTGGATAAGTTTTGGAATCTAATTAAGTTTGATTTTTTAACCAAACTTTTTTAATGCATCCTGATACAAAATGGAAGAGTTTCAAAATACAGTTTTATTAGATGAATAAGCTGACAGCCTTAACTTTATAGAATGAGGAAGTTGGTTTAAAATGCTAGGAAGGTGATTAGATTTAAAATGTATATAGCTTAGTTAATCATTTGGTTTACAAAATGGTCTAAAAGATTGGTCATTGAGGTCAAGTGTCACGACAAGAAGGTTCATAACTTTTATGTTACATTGTATAGAGATTGTTATTTTTTTCATTTTCCATTGCATCCACAGTGGCCATTTTAGACCATTTTTGAAAGCGTCACCGTATTTGGGCGCCGCCCAAATTAAAATTTTAAGACTTTTTTTTTTTGAAACTCAGATTTTCCTCTTAAATTTGCCGAAACGAGGCAGTACCGCCGCCTAAATTCCTAGAATATCCTAAAATAGGCCCCGAATCTTAGAATAGGCTCCGATCCATGAGGTGAATCCACTTTCGTTTTTAAAAACTGCTAACCCATCGTCATATCATAATCCAAAATCTGTTTTTTTATAATGCTGATATAGCTGAAAAAAAAGAAAAATTTTGCCAAGCTCACATACCATGCGGCGTCAAAAGCACCAGTTCGAACATCAAACCAATGTTCTTTTTAATCCTAGGTTGCTCTTTATTAAATGAATAATTTTTGGGCCTGTTTAGTTATAAACTTATCTTCGTTTTAATGATTACATATTTCATAACAAATATAATTGCGTCATTCAAAAGATTTTTATTAATAGAATATTTCATTATCGATAAAAATCAATAATGTTAAATTTTAAAAATTTATAAAAAATGTTTGTTTTTGATTCATTTGAACCAATCTAAAACGTTTTGGGTAACTTTTCAGTGATTTAGACAGAGGATATTTTACAGCTCAACAATGACGTTAGATAAAATAAATTTACTGATTCTTCCGTTTTCATTTTTTGCTGGAATTAATAGATGGACAGTTGTCTTGTTTAAAAAATTGTCTTTATGATCTTTTAAAGTGATAAAGCAGTTGGATGGTGTTTTAATTTCGATTCTGCTAAAAACCTCATGATTTTTTAACATAACTTTCTCCTCCTTATTTAACAGGCTATTTATCTGTAACTCTGATTTTCAGAGGATGTAGTAATTGAATTGGTTAGCAGTTTATTATATTGATGTTTAGATAATTGATATAAATTCAAAGTTTTATTTGCTTGTGTAAATAATTTGTCCGACTTACATATTGTACTTGAAAGAGCTTTTTATTTTACAATGCACTTCCGTTTTTTCTAATCAATTTACTTTATTGACTTTTTCTGATGGCATTGGAATATTTTTGATAGAGTAATTAAAACTTACTTTGTGCATTCTTTAAAGGACTTAAGAAAAGTGCTCGACTGATGGAGCGAATAATATATTAAATGATAATTTGTATTTGTAAATAAAATACAAAAACTCTTGTACGAGTCCAAAACGTATTAATAAACAGCAATCCTCTCACTGAATCCTCTTCTTAATGCTTGGATTATTGTTCATTACTGACCTATCATAGAAACCATATATACAATTGATTGCTAATTTACATCTGCTAAGGTTTCCTCTTTGTATGTTGCTTATCACTTTTTTACTCATAATTTTATCGTCTACCTTTACAAATCTCTTAATCGTCCTTGTATGAAATACTGTTGCCATATTGTCTGGTTCTTCTTATGGTGCTTTTTCTCAAAGCAATTAAACTCGTGTTATCTGCCAAGCTTTGGCTTCTCTTCCGCTGTCAAAATATTGCTTTTTTCTTCAAATTTAATTATGGTCGTTGCTCAAAGGAGCTACTAAAAATCATTCTTTTTTGAGTTGTCATTGAGCAAAATATCAATCTTTTACTGTACCTGTCCCTGCATGCTTCTAAAACTTTTATTAATCTAGTTTTTAACCCACACTTTAACCGTTTGTATCTTTCTCCCGTCTTTGTGTTTTCATAACTTTCAAGTCTTCTGTCAATCGTTTCATTACTCTATAACTTTATTTTTTTTTCATAGTAGCTCCAAACTTAATAGTGGTTGCTCACAGTCTTGTTAGGAGTTTATAAGAATTAAAAAATAACATAAAAAAACAAACTTGTTATACTAACGAAATATGAAATAATAAAACAACCGAGAAATAGGTCAAAAAGATACAGAATATATTTATAGAATGTAATATTTAGTATGGAGGTTGCCCTTAATATGGAGGTACTTATATATATATATATATATATATATATATATATATATATATATATATATATATATATATATATATATATATATATATATATATATATATATATATATATATATATATATATATATATATATATATATATGTATATATATATATATATATATATATATATATATATATATATATATATATATATATATATATATATATATATATATATATATATATATATATATATATATATATATATATATATATATATATATATATATATATATATATATATATATATATATGTAAGTGTTTCTCCGTTACAGATTTGGTATCTAATAAACTTTACTCAAAAAAGAAAGTTTATAGAATGGTTTCATTAAAGTTTTAAATTATATTATTATTAATTTGAACACAAATAATTACATTTTGTATTGGTGTTTTTAACACCATTATAGGTAGGTGACCGTTGTCCCGGTTTTAACGTTGGAGAGCGCTGCGCCTAATTTATTTTAAACAGTTTAGTGCTATGTTCTCCTACGTAAACACCGGGCCAATAGTCAACCTAATCTTAGGTATTTTAAAAAATTTGTTATTTAATTTTAACAGAAGATGACTAGTGTTAGTCAAAACACACACATACACAAAGATATGTATATATATATATATATATATATATATATATATATATATATATATATATATATATATACATATATATATATATATATATATATATATATATATATATATATATATATATATATATATATATATATATATATATATATATATATATACATATATTATATATATATATATATATATATATATATATATATATATATATATATATATATATATATATATATATATATATGCATATATATATTTTTTAATTTGATGCAATAAATATTATATATGTGTGTGTATATATATATATATATATATATATATATATATATATATATATATATATATATATTTGTATATATATATATATATATATATATATACATATATATATGTATATGAATGATTTTAAATTTGTTACAATAAATATTATATGTTAAAAATACACACCTAAGCATCCATACATGATATTAAGCTCATTTTTATCTGTGTCACTTAAGTCATCCTCATTCCCAATGCTGAACTCCTGATCTTTTGTCAGAGTTATGAAAGTAGGTTTTATTCTAATAGTTTTTCTTGACTCTGTATAATCAGATTGATTTTGGAATGGATATTTACCAAAAGACCATAATTGGTATTGCATGATTGAAAATATATCATAAGTCTAAATAAACAAATGTTTGGACTTCTTTTGAATATTTAGATTTTTATTATTTTTATTATTAAATATAATTTTCAAAATAACAACTTTATCTTACAATAACAACATTTTAAAAATTCAACATTTAAAAAATCATTTTTAAAACTATTATTATTTCTAACTGTAAATTATGCAAAAAAATATGAGTTTTTTACTTTTCTAGTATTTCATCGATTTTTTTTTTAAATAATTGTAAACAATAGTCATTTTTCATTTACAAAAGTTAGTACACTAGGTAAGCACCCTAGATTTACCATTCTTTTATATATAGTTATACTTTATCATATCATATTAAATATTGACAATTTAATATTATTGCTAATTTGTGCGTGTTTGCACAAAACTCACAACAGCATTTAAACCCAAGTTTAATGCAAGAGCCTTAATTAGCACTTATTTTTTATGATGCTATCAACTTTGACTAAATCGAACTGAAATCAACTAGTTGAAAGTGGAAATCAGTTGAATTGGAAAAATCTAAAAGTCAATTCAATCAAGTATAGACTTTCTACTAATCAACTAAAAGTCAATTTATTTGACTAAAAGCGTTAAAATCTTATATCTTTACAATTTAACTTTTTAATGGATTTAACTTTTAATCTTAGATTTTTGTTTTTCATGACTACCTATACCTATATTACCTAGTTTTTTTCTTACCTCTCTTAAAGTTTTATTTAATTCATTGCATAATATTCATTATCATTATTTATAACTAATTAAAAGTTCAGTAATGTATTTTATTAAATTTTATTTCTTTAGTTTACTCTAGGCTTGTGATTTCATTTATACAGGGTTGTTCTAAGCTGGCTTGTAGTCCTGGAGTAAAATTAAATTGTAAAGCTCCAATATCCAAATGTCTTCTATACTATCATGTGGTAAATATGATTGTATAAACTTATTGATATTTAGAAATATTTGAGGTGGTTTCTAAATCATTTAAGTCTTGAACAAATATTCCAATTGTCGGAGCGACCCTTTTCTCATATTGTGTTATAAAGCGAATATAAATTACTTTATTATTATATTTCAATAAATTTCAAAAAAATAAATTTATTCCCATATTGCAACTATATTGACTTTTAGTTGACTTAGTCAATTTCAAAAATGTAAAAGTTTTTTGATTTAGTCGACAATCGAAATATTTAAAAGTCGTAACAGCACTAATTTATTTCTAAGCAAATGTGGCTTAATAAAACTAAACAAATCTAAGTAAATATAAATAAGTCAATTTAAAATTATATGTATGTGTTAAATTTTATTTTAAGTTTTAGAGTTTTACTTTTAGTTTTTTATAAGTAGTTTTCTTTATGCCAAAGCACAAGGAAAAGGGTATACAACACGTATATTATGTTATACTATGTGTACAGTGCCACCGAGAGGATGGGGGTCGCGAGGGACAGTTTGTTCCGGGCGGCAGATATCCAAGGGGCGCCTAATGAAATGTAGGTACCTAAAAATAAGGTTCTTCATATATAGTATAGAGAAAATTTGATAAATAAGAGCTTCAATCAAGATTGCTATCCCAGGCGGCGTGACAGCTCTCGGCGACCCTGTATGTATATATAATATTTACAAAACTATCAAAAACATAGCCATTTTTAATAATTAAACCAGCTTATATTATAATAGATTTATATATAAAAATAACTAGATAAAATCAAATAATCTCTTTGAATAATTTGTTAATAGATAATCATGTTATTTTTTTAAATTTTTTTAGGATACTCAAAAACATTTTAAGAAAATGCCTGGCAAAAACATTATATTATACATTACTTTAATCCTTTTTGTAGATATGTATTGAATACTGAGAATATATTAAACTATTTGTTAAATTTTTTTAAATTGACTTTAATGCTCTCTTTTTATTTTATGCACCCTTTATTTTACGCACCTTTTATTTTAAAATGTGGTTTTTAAGTAACTGTCAATTAGGTTTTAAATTGAGTAAATAAAGTTATTCAGTATATTATTTAAATTAAAAAGTTTATGTTTCAGTTAATTTAACTTGATTATAATTTTTACTTAAACTAATCAACGTTTCCATAATAGTTTGTATTTAAACAAAAACAAACAATAATATTTGCTTTTGTCTATATTTAAACAAACAATTATTTGTTTTATATTTAGATAAAAACCTTTAAGGAAACATAGATTATTATTTTTAATTTTTTTTTAGTTTATTATAACTTAATATCCTTAATATTTTTTGGTTTTTTTAATATTTAAAAAAACAACTGTTTATGTATTATAGCGAAGAAAACTTTTTAGGAAATAGGTTAGTTTTTGAATCTTTTTACTATATTTTAACTCCATAAACTCGATATTTAAACATACAATTATTTTTAAACAAACAATCTTTTGCTTATTTAAAAGATTAGGTGTTTAATAACAATTTTTTTTATCTATATTTATAATTTTAGTTGTATAGGCGATTAAAGATTGTAAGATTCAATTATTTTTAAGTTTGAATTTGTTAGGTTTTTTGTAGATATTTTAGTTTTTAATTTGATTTAATATTACAAAGAGTTAGTACTGAAAATAGCCTAGAATATTTAAATAGATAAATATCTACAACATTAAGTTAAGTTTCATTAGAAAATTAAAGTGTAATGTTGGTAACTTTTAATTATCAATGATGTCTTTGGTTTAAAAACTAATTTAAAAAAAATTTAATATTTTCTAATATGATTGCGTTATAATTGAATTTTATAAGAATTTTTACTATTAGCTTGATTGCTCTCAATTGTTTTTTATCTTTCAATTTGAGTAAATCTACAAATAGGAGATGTAGTTTAATGTTTTTTGTAAATATTTTTATTGATTTTTTTTTTGTTACATTTTGTTTGTAAATTTTTGTTTAAAAATGCAAGTTTTTGTCTTTCTCTATTAAAAATTATCAGAGTAAATTTTATCTTAATAGGTTTTTTTTTAATATTTTTAATTAGAAGGAACATATTTTTTATAAAAATAAACTTTTAACTATATTCCTTTTTTTTAATGTTTTAATATCTCAAAAGGCAAGAGTTACCTTTCTAGTTTAACTGCAAAGATTATATATTACAAACATGTCTAGTTTTATTATTGTTAGTTTATTTCTTTAGTTCTACCTTTCTACAATGCAATTTTAGCATAGTGTATTATAGCATATTGGTATTGGTGTAGTTGTAGAGTGCTTGCCTCATAAGCGGCCATTTTCCTAGTAGTACTACGCTCAACTTGTTTCTATGTGCAGTGATCTTGTTCGTTAAGGCTCTTATTTAGAGTTATAGAGTTGAGAGAGCATTTTAACCACAAAACTAGCCTCCTCACTGTAGTGGCCTTCTTGACCTTGGTGAAAATGAATAATTTTTTTTTTTTTTTTTTTTTTTTTGTTTATGCGACACAATGATCGCAAAAAGTGACCAACGGAGCCGTCCAGTTTTGTAGACCTGAGAGATATGATAATAAAAACAGTTAGAAGATGGTGTCATTGAATATAAAATAAAAATAATATGAAAATATAAAATGAGTGATAAGACTTTTGTGAAGGTAAAGAACGAAGTAAATGCTCGGAGGGCAGGGAGAGAACAAACTAACACTCTAATCACTCTGTATGTAGATCATATGCAACAAAGAACAAATATTTGATATACTGATTTAGAAGACCGTTGATGTCTACAGGTGTGATGGTGTAGTGCATTAGTACGTACTGTTTGTTGTCTAGTATGGTCTCGTTATGTTTCCGTTCACTTTCAAATCGGGTGAATAGAAAGCTAAACAAACTCACTTCTTGCGCTTATGGGCTAGCACATCAGAGCCAGACGTGAGACCTACAGAATAGATTTCAATTGATCGAATGCACACATTAGTCACCGTAGGCCACAAGCTATCACTCTTAACCAAAAGAGCTGCTGCCCCGTGCTGGTGTGGAATGATGTGCTATGAAGTGAGATTTCAGATCCGAGCACATAGTCAGCGAGCGCTGATCCGACGTTCATTGTGGAGCTTCCGATTGAACGTGAGCGCTCATTAGGTTATTGAGCGCCGTAACCACATCCAGCGGGATAGCCTAATGTCCGTTTTGTCGTTTTGACGTACATTGGAAAAAGTCGGAGCTCACCAGCCACAAAGAATAAATTTTTGCTTATGCGACACTATGATCGCAAAAAGTGACCAACGGAGCCGTCCAGTTACGTAGACCTGGGAGATGTAAAAATAAAAACAGATTGAAGATGATGTCATTTAGGTAAAAAAACATAAATTAATGCTAAGACTATTTAGTTGGAAGAGTAAAAGTAAGCAACTCAGGAAAAGGGGAATAAAAACTCACACTCTAGTCATCTTTTAACAAATGATGAAATAATGATCTATGAGTAAACAAGTCAATAAAAATCCGCTGGTTTATAATGGTATTCATAACTAAAATAATCGCACCATACAAGTGTCTAATAAATGTGGTACTATATATGTTCTAAACTCTAGATAAAAAATTGATAACTGATAATCACCTGTGTAACATAAAAAATATATAAATGTCGTAAATGTAACAAATTCATAATAAAAAGCTCATAAAGCGCAAAAATACATGGGTTTAAGAGGTAAAAAAATGTTGGTGCCATAATAACCAATTAGAATTAAGTAGTGGATAAATGGTGATCCTCCTCCTCAGAAATGCACTGCGATCACCAATGACGTTTTGGAGAGCCCGAAACCTGCACTAACGCCACTCGTCAGGGGCGTGTCCTTGCAACACATCTCATCTTTTTACTATATTCCTTTTTTTTAATGTTTTAATATCTCAAGAGGCAAGAGTTACCTTTCTAGTTTAACTGCAAAGATTATATATTACAAACATGTCTAGTTTTATTATTGTTAGTTTATTTCTTTAGTTCTACCTTTCTACAATGCAATTTTAGCATAGTGTATTATAGCATATTGGTATTGGTGTAGTTGTAGAGTGCTTGCCTCATAAGCGAGAAATT